GTGTGTGTGTGTGTGTGTGTGTGTGTTTCTGTTTGTGCATGCGTGTGCCTGTACTTGTGTGTGTGTGTGTATGTGTGTATATGTTTTTGTGTGTCTGTCTGTGTGTATGTCTCTGTCTGTCTGTCTGTCTGTCGGTAAACTCAAACATGTGCCTTTGAAAGTAAAAAATAAATGAGACTTAGTTTTAGCTGTCAAAGAAAAACTTTCAACCTTTGCATTCACTTCCAAAAATCATGACAAACTGTAAATCGTCATGAATTTCCCCTTGTCTTGTTCAGAGCTCATTGTCTTGTCTTCTGACCCCCAGATTGAAGAGACAATTAACGCAGTGCCAGATGGAGACGGGACCAAGAAAAAGTCGACATTGCCCAAACAGAGTCTGCTGGACTGGGCAGAGAGTGTGCTATCAAAGTGAGTACTGTTGAATCGGCTGTAAGCCCTTTGTGACACGGGGTCAGGGGTCAGTTTGTGCTTCTCCGGGCACAGTTTTGGATCCCCAAGGACACAAATTAGCTCTAGATTTAGTGGTCAATTTCCTATAATTTGTACAGAAAAATACTGCTTGATGTGATTCTGCTGTTATTTTTACAAAATGCATCTAATAGAATCACTATGCAGAATACAACCTATGATGAACTGCTTGTGTCATCACGGCTCTCAAGCTTTGCAAATCATGTCTTATACCATACATCAGAGCAGCATCATGGCTCCTTCGCTATATAAGAATAGACGACAAACAGCATACATCATATTAGACACGAAGGGGTTAAGGCCATCACACAAGGTTTCCTACAATAGATAACTGATGACCGAGAGGAAAAAAAAAATTACTACACTGTTTTTTCCGCCTGAAATCTTTGTTATACCTGCCCTTGGCAAGGTTCTCCTCTGCAATCTTTTTTATATCACAAAGGCCAGGGAATTAATTACCTGAAGCCCTTGTCAGGTGCTCAAAGAAATGTGTTGTGCTGAAGCATGGCATGTCTCCTGTGCTTTCTCCTTGTGTGTTTACTTTGTCCCAAGTTCAATATCACATCACGATATTGATTAGACTAGCGTTTCAGTTAAGTCAACATTTGGTTTGCTGTGCTTTGTGTGATTAAGGTGTTGGGACATCTGCTTTCTTTGACATTTTTTTAGGGAAAAAAAATCAATTCATCCGTCTGTGTTCTGGCCTGAGTGACAATGGCTGGTTGTGGAGTCAAAAATTTAGCATTGCTAATGTCTGAAGTGAATTCTGGTGCAGATTCTTTTGAAAAGCCTTGAGGTATAGTTTCTACCATTTGTGTTGCAATTTTGAAAGGGATCAATGGTGAACCGTTTCTTGGTGTATGAAACTAATTATTTTGGGGTTTTAAGTTTTGTTTACTTAGGGACAGTCTGGTAAGGATTGCTAGTTTAAAGTTAAGGGGAAAGCCCTTTTTTTGGTCCTAGGTTGTGCAGACATGGTTAGTGGATAACCTGGGAAGTTTTTATGACCCCTTAATCCCAAGGTCAGTGTGGATTAAAAGTTTGTCATATATGAGTTTTAATTGCTCAAGTCAAAGACAACAATTGGGGGCTCTCGTGGCCTAGAGGTTAAGGTGTTGGCCTCTCATTCAAAGGTCCCGGGTTCGAATCCGGGTAGCGACCAAAAAATTTTCTTCTCTAAAATTGTCTCCTTTCACCTCCTTTCCTGCTCTCTAGCATTGTTCTGTTGTCTGCTTTCATTTCCACTTTCTGCCCCCACCCCCTCACCTCCTTTGCCCCCTCCTCTGGGCTCCTGACTCTTTCTGCAGCCTTTCTACTGCTACTCCTTGGCTCCTCCTAACTGCTGTCTTTCTGCCACACCCCTGATCTTCTGGTAGGAAAGATCTACACCTAGCCTTCTCGGACAAGGGCGAAAAATCTCGGAGGGCCCGTGTGCAAGTTGCGCACGTTAAAGATCCCTTGGTGGTCTAAAATCGATAAGAGTAGGCTTCCGCCGCCACCCGGGCAAAATTCAAAAATTTCCTACCAACGAAAAAGTTTTAGGTGTGTCCCGCGCGCTCATATGACCTTATGCAGTTGCGAGCGCCGTAAAACCCTATACTAAACAAACAAACAAACAACAACAACTTTAATTAAAATTGAAAGTGGAAGAATAGCTGGCGATCCAGGTGGACCACATTCTAACTTGTTTTGCTCCCAACGCACCCAAGAGTGAGTTTTGAAGTCAGTCATTGAAAAAAGGCAGGAGACTATTATGTATAAAACCATGGAACTGTGTGTCCTAGTAACCTGGTCACATTTGTTAAAATCAGACATATTGTGGATTGAAGAATCTACCGTACCTTATATCTGAGATCTAACAGGGAAGCAAAGAAGAACAAGAAAAGTTTCATCTATTGTTATGTCTGTATTCCTTCTCTTTTTCAGAAAATATGGATTGGACATTAAGGATTTTGGCAAGAGCTGGAAGGATGGTGTGGCCTTCAATGCCATGATCCACAACATCCGGCCGGATCTCGTGGACATGGATCAGATCCGGCGACAGCAGGCTCGGATCAACCTGGAACACGCTTTCTCCACTGCAGAGTCAGAACTAGGCATTCCCAGATTGCTTGACCCTGAAGGTAAGAGCACACGGAATAATAATAATGATGATAATAATAATAATAACAATAACAATAGTAGTAATATGATAGATTGCATTTATTTTGTGCTCTATCCCATAGTTAAAGCTCTGAGGACTTAATAGTAACAATTGCATCTAAATAGTATATATCCACGCTCGATATCAAGCTCTATGCACTTCACAACTATTGAATGTGGTATGGTATCTGCTCACATTTGTAATGTACTTTTTAAGCACACGCTGGACTTTATTTTTTTAAAAAAACAATCAGTGTAAAGTGATTCAGAAGTTAATTGTTTTACTTTCTGAAAGTAAATGCGAAATTCAATATTCACTTGTTTTTATACAAATTTCAGATGTGGATGTGGAGAAACCAGATGAAAAATCTATCATGACTTATGTTGCCCAGTTTCTGAAGGCATACCCTGATGCTGGAGGGGCAAGTGTGAGTACTAGTGTTTTTTATTGATCCTGTTTTTAAAAAAATAATTCTCTTATAAAGGTTTGAGTGAGATAATCATTATACCTCTGTCACGTATTGAGTATGCAGTATGTACAGAAATTTGAAGTACCTGATACTATCAACGAATAGAAAAAAAAACTTCCAAGAACAGATCACTTATTAACAATTCTCCATTTTTAAAACATTTATAGGACTCATGATGTGTGTATGAAAGAAAAAGTAATAATGGAAAGTTCAATGTCTTTTGTTTGTGATCTCTTATATATAAATATGTCTCAGGTACTTGTAAAAATGGATCTTCTTATCATGTCGTCATTTTCTCGCTTTTTAGGGCATACCCAGCTTGAACATTGACACAGCAGAGAAAGAGATGAAAGCTTACAACAGTCTGATGAACTGGCTGAATTCGGATGCTGCAGAGGTGCTGGCCACAAGCCAAGAGCCCATTCAGGACAGAGATTCGGAATTCCTGGTATGTATTTTGTAGACTGTATCACACCACTAACTTGTTGCAAGTGAACACTTTTACTTGAAATGTATGAACACAGCCTTGTCCTTATTTTCCTTATAATATATGACACCCGAAGAAGAAAAATATGATGAATGGTCAGTTCTTCTTAATACTCTGATATTTTTTGCTCTTTTTGTTGGCATGGTTGTTATCATGCCACTCTGTTATAGACTACTACTCTATTGCTTCAACATCTAGTTTGATAGGCTTTGATGGGTCCGTGTTACCTTTTAAATTATATCAACTTTTTTATTTTGATAAGTTACTTAACTGAAAACATGTTTAATAATCATATTCACATGTTTGTGTCTCTCTTTTTTGACCTTTTACCTGCAGTTATGGGGTCACTCTGCTTTTCTTTACTCTCTACTCTCTTCTCAGACTTAGGTAAGGTGGGGGGGGGGGGGAGAACAGTTATATTTTTCATAGATTGGTATTGTTTTTTTAGTTTTTGTCATTGGTCAACTGCTATGCATGTTCTCTCTCTTTGCTTTGATACTACAAGTAGTTTGAGTATATGATTGTTATGTCTGACTTTTCCCTGCAGGACTACTTGGGTTTCAAGACTGAGCTGGACAGGAGGGAGCCGCTGTACCTGAAGATTGGGGAGAAGGTTCTGTCAGGTCGGGCTCTGAAGATCACACGTGGGGACTGGGAGAAGCTGGACATACGCTGGCAGGAAGTGGACGAGCAGGTATGTGCTCTTTATTTGGGACTGATGAAGCAAATTAAAGAATATTTTGTTTTAATTGTGTGCAATTTTTTCCTTCTCTCGTTAAAAAGTAGCTTTATTTTAAGAAAAAATATTTTGCCGCACTGTTTTATTAGATATACAAAATTATTTCTGAAACAATATTTATTTGATTTCATATTTGAAAACAACCATATTTTGAACACTAAATTGAGATCGGAGAGTATTTTAGTAAGTATATTTGCTTCTATGCTTTCAATACCTCACTGCGCTTTGGCTTGTGAGTCAGCATCTTTTGGGTACTAGAAAAAAAAAGCTTATTTAATCAAGAAATAAAAGATTCCCATCACCTGTATGCTGTGGGTCACTTAAGTTTTAATGATATTCATATGAAAACAGTTATTGGTCCTTACATATGGCTTCGTATGTAGCACTTTAATGGCAGTTTTTGCGAATAGTTAAATTGAATAAAAACGTCAACTAACAGATATTTTCCTCAATGTTCCAGGTCCACCTGTGGCTGCTCAAGCTGGACTCGAGCCTGCCGGGGAAGCTGGGGAAGCTGGGGGAGTGGTTGTACCACGCGGAGAAACTGCTGAGGAAGAAGGAGGAGGGGATGGAGAACCCAGACGACATGGCCGCTCTTTATGCTGAGTTGGCTCGGGAACACAGAGTGAGTGTTGTACAACGCTGAAAATATATCGTAGATTGAGCAGTTTTTCTTTCTGTGCAAGTTTGGATACACAGAATGAGTGTTTGTACCCACCAGTGTCATGTACAGTCAAATTTGCTTGAAAAGCAACCTGTCGGAGACAATCACCTGTATAATCAACCAGTTCCTTCTTCCCCCCTTGCTTTTTTTCTATACTGCAATGACACTATTAAAGACATCCACCTGTCTAAGACAACCACTTTCCTCCCTGACAATGGAGGACCATTTTTGGACAATGTTGGCTGTAGATCTTTGGTCTCAGTTTTTCTTGCTGAGCTGCTTTTGAGTGTGGTGGTATTGGTCAAATATCTTATAGATCTCACTTTCTCTCTTTTTAAAATGCTTTTTATGATTTTCACTTTAGGCCCTCTGACAAATCAGGTTTGAATCAAAGTGTAAAGTTTGGTGTTGGAAGTTTTTTTGACTCTTCATCCTTCATATCAGAAATGGGTGGTGATTTAGAGGCTGTTTCGTCATTTTTACTCTCATTCCCGTGTCTTGTATTTAAGAATATAGTGCTTACTAATGACATATTATAATGAACATTGTTTGTGTTTTTATGTGTTTATTCAATCCATGGTCTCCTGGAAGCCAATTTAAATTCAGTCAAGCCTCTTCTACCCATCATTTGTCCTTGACAAATGACCACTTTCCACTTACCCCCTTGTAATTTTTTTCAATTATAATGACAGTGTCCAAGATGTCCACCTGGCTAAGACAACCTCTTTCCTCCTCAGCATTGGACAATTTGTATTGTATTTGTTTATTGTATACTGCGTTGAACAAACGTACAATATTTATTATTGTGACTTTATCTACAGGAATTTTTCAAGGACCTAGAAAGCTGGAAACAGTTCTATGCCCAGATTAAACGAGCAGGCCGTTATGAGGGCATGATGCTTCAGGGTCGTCAGATTGAGCATCTGTCCAAACGGTTGGAAACAGTCACAATGCTTTCAACAGTTCGACAGAACAGACTGGACTACACACATATGAGGTATGAATGATCGCTGCTGTGCCTGTTGTGCAATGTTGCTCACAGAGAAGATTGTTAGAGGAGTCTCTTTCACCGGAGTAACTTCTTTGATAGATCAATGTCTTGTGGAATCTCTTATGTTGAACTAGTTGTGTGAAATCATTATGGCATCAGAGAAAAACACTGAGATGATTGTTTGTTATTTATATTGTGCTTCTTAAAGTTTAATTTTAAAAATAAATATCTTGTGGAAATAACATTGTCGCAATCCGTTTCCTCTCTTTTTTATTGTAACTTTAAAAATTAGTCTATTTAGAACTATTCTACTATTTGTCTTTGAGGCTTCACTTCCCACCTGTGTCTTTCTGGTCTACTGCTTCTCTTGTTCTTTTAGGGTTTATTTTGTTTGTTATTTTTCTTCTGTAATTAATTTCCTGTATCTTTTATATTATTTTAGATGAGTAAACATCCTTTTTTTGTGTTTACAGTACTTAAGCATATACTCAAATATGTCTATTGCTTCATAGCAATGTATTAATGTCCTTTCTTGTTGTGTGTATGGGTGAGTGTACATGACCTTTTTAACACTACTGCAATTGTAAAAGACCGGACGACAAATTTCTCCCTTCGAGATGAAGAAAGATTGTCATTATCATTGTAGGTACAAGTTGTTGGCATTCCTGGTGGTGGCTGAGGCCAAGCTGAACCAGTGGACAGCCAAGTACGGGCCTCAAGAAGCAGTGGAGGAGCTACTGGTGGACTATGTAGATTTTGTGGAGCGCCAGCGGATGTTGGAGAGCTTCGATAAAACTTTTGCAGAGACAAAGAAAGTCTCCGAGACTTACAAAATGGGTGGAGCAGGTAATTACTCACCTTTTTTCATTATTAACCCCTCCACTATCTGGCTGGAGACTGTTATTGGCTCTTTGGTAGGATTATGGAGTTTACCTGGAAGTGAAGGTGTTACCAAGGAGGGAAGAGAAGTGGCTTCTGCTTCTTTTGCTTAGTTTGGCTCTCAATATTTTTACAACTCAATCAAATAAAAATACCCAAAATATACCCCCCATACCCAGGTTAAATTTTATAGACTTAAAATAAGATTGGGACACCTACACTGAAAATAGGTAAATGATAGAGAAAAAAGAATAAGTAACTTTTTTTTGTTTGAACATATAAAAAATATTTTTTGGTAAGTGTTTTATGACGCTCGCAACTGTATAAGGAGATATGAGCGCACGAGGAGAACATCTTTTTCGTCTCATGTTCAAAGAGGGTTGAGACACAATCTGTAATTAAGACAAATTTTTTATCACAGACAAGATGGAGAGCTCTCAGATTGACCACTTCCTGGAGGAGATCCTTGGCCGCTGGAAAAAGGTGACGGTGGAGGTGAAGAGCGTGCGCTCCATGATGGAGGAGACCATCAACACCTGGAAGCGCTATGCCGCCTGTGTGGACGTGCTGACCGTGTGGCTGACCGAGGGAGAGCAGGTCATGAGGCTCAGTGTAGAGGAGAAGGAGGTCAGTTATTGTCCTTTGTAGTTTTGTTACTGTCTTCTTGATCAATGTCATGCTGGGGAAACAGTGGAGAGAGGGAGCAGGGAGAGAGAGACAGACAGACAGACATACAGACAGACAGACAGACAGACAGACTGACAGACAGACAGACCGACAGGCAGACAGACAGACAGACCGACAGACAGACAGACAGACAGACAGACAGACAGACAGACAGACAGACAGACAGACAAGACAGACAGACAGACAGACAGACAGACAGATGGACAGACAGAGTGAAAGGAAATCTGTTGGAACTATGTTCTATTTATTATAATTGTAGAGCACATTGGGCACTTTCATAGTGGAAATTTCATGGATTATGTAAATGTTATTATTTATTAATATTATAATTACTTATGACTGGTGGTTACTTGGGTGTTATCTGCTCTTTCTTCTTTTTCCAAAATGTTTTTGTTATATTTTGGTGAAGCCAAGAGAGTAACCCACAAAGTGGGCACATCCGTGGGTGGACATGAAGCTTTTAAAGGCTCAAAATATGGCAAACACTTTTCTGCCACAATTTATCTCATTGGCCAGATCAGTACCCACAAATCATGTTTACTCTTATTTCTTCTGTTTCACTCAAGAAATATTTTCCACTGCATCATCTTCTAGCTGTTGTTGTGCTGACTCGTGTGTACTAAGATATCTTTTTTCTTTGCGAATGCAGGAATTTCTCCTTGAAAAGATGTTGCCTTAAAAATGAAATTGTGATTTCTGAGGGTGTTTTTTCGTTTCTCCTATTAAACAACAGTCTTGGTAGTGTAAAGTAGCTCAGGTTTAAATATAGACAAGTGACTACATGTGTCCTTTTCTTTTTTCTCTTCCAGGAATATTTTAAAGATCTTGCACAGTATGAGGAAAAGCACAAAATATTGAATGAGTCTGCCAACTTCCTCATTGACGTTTCCTCCGATCCAGTGGCTGCCGAAATTAAAGAAACGCTACTTTTACTCAACCGGAGATTCAAGGATCTCACAGAAGGCTTCCAGTCATTCCGCCAGAACGAAGTTATCGGCAAAGCGAGAGCCGAGTATGAGACAGGAGTGGCTACGCTGGAGAGCTGGCTCGGAGAGACCTCTGATATTCTCTCTCAGCAAGTCCGATGTGTCCACGCTGAACTGAAAGCTTACTTGCTGGAACTTGATGTAAGTGGCGATGGATGCTAGGATGTCTTTTGTCTTTTGTGTCTTGAACAGTTTGTGGAAACTTTTTTAGTGGAAACTTTTTTAATGGCAATTTTACGAAACCTGTTTCTATCCCACAATATGTGATAGCTTTTGAATATTTCTGGAGATAACTTTTGTGTGAATGGCTGCTAGCTGATCAATCAGTGTGAAGGAAAAATTTGGGAGTAAAGCATTTCAAAAGTCAGAATGTTTCTGTCTTATCTGAAGAGACGTTATTTTATGGCTGTAGAAATGCTCTTAAAATTTTTTAAAGATGACATGACTAAATTGAGTGGTCACTTTGCTTTTGCATCAAATTAGAATGATGATAGCCAAAATCTTGATTCTTGAGTGTGTGATGTCACATGATGTGATAACCTTACAAATCTATCTTTGTTTTTTTCTAATTTGGCAGTTGAAGTTTTTGTTGATACCATCATGTTTTACAAGTAACATAATAGTTTTGCCTTTTTCTGTTTCTTCTCTCAGAATTACAACAATCAGGTACAAGAAATTGAGAACAATTTCAAAATAACAACGAAAACTGCCCAGTCCTTAGTCAAGGACAGTACTCAGGAATCTGTCAATGAAATGCTCCAGACACTCAACGTGCAGAAAGAGGTATGTTTCCTTTTCCTTTATTTCCTCATGATCTTTGTCAATATTTCTTGTTTTATTTAGATTTAATCTTCAAAGTTGTTTTTCATTTAATACTTAATTTTTTCCTCTGAAAAATTGAAATGAGGTGTTATTTATGAATCACAGGAAAAATAGCCTGAATTACATTATTTAACTTATGATATTTCTTCATTTTACAATATCTATATGTTCTCAATGTTGTGAAAGTGCTTAAAAAAATTTCAGAGAGAATGTTTGTCTGTGTACGACGTAAGGCTCAGAGATGGAATTTTACATTGGAAAGTGCATATGGCACGAAAAAGTAAAAATCATAGTTGCTTTGCACTCTTATGGTTTATTTTCTCGTTTCTTCATCTCTGTAGGCTATTGTCAAACTGAGGAAGGAGATCCCAGAGAGGATCAAGTACCTCAAGGCCGTCCTGCCCAATGTGGAGTCCTTGGAAACAGGCATCCTTGACCTTCAGCGCTGGCTAGAGGAAGGGGAACAACTGTTGGGCTCTCACAAGCTGGACGGCACTGCGGATGAGACAGAGGCTAGGCTGGAGAGGCATAAAGTGAGTGACCAGCGGGACTATAGTGCTGACTCTTGACAGGAAACACAGTGCAGTTTGCTCTACTGAGATCTGTGGGACCACTGGATTTCCTTCGGTTTTGCTGTGTTTTTGGTTTAGAGAGATTGCTCAAATAACCAAGAAAAAAATCTGGGATTCTTTTTCTTTTGGTTTACTATTGTTTTCGGATTAATCGTGTTGAGTAAAAGTGGACTTCACTGTATAAGCATATTCTAGGTGGAATGTTCCAGGCTTTTTGGGATCTTTTAAATCGCGGGTTTTAACCAGTTTGATTTTTTTACCCATATGTCTATTTTTAAATACACTTTAAAAAAAATGTTTGCCTGCCTGATCCTGTTATTCTGAAAATGTATGTTTCTCTGTCATATGTTGAATAGCATTTAAGATATTCAGGAATTTAAAAATATTAATCTATCATGAACTAAAAGTGGTTATGAACGGTGGAATTAAGATTCTTATTGGATACTTTTTTGCTTTTCTGTCATACATCCTTCATATTTAAACGCCACAGTTTCCTATATATATAGTATAATTTTTTTCCGATGACATTCTAACAAAATTTTATGCCCAATCTTGTTTCATTTCCTTTTTTTGTATCTTTCAGGCATTTTTCACAGAGACCACCTACCAGAAATCTATCTTAGAGAGCAAGAACAAAGTCTTCCAGAAAATAAGTGGCACAAAATCAAAACTGAAAAATGTGGACTTCTCTCCTGCTGAGGACCTCATGAACTCAGCAAATGACAAGTTTCAGGTAAGTTATGGTCTGTGTGTAGACATAGATACGTCTGTAATAGGATGCTGTTTCAATGATAGACAACTGGCCATAGCAATTCCTGGGTGGCTCAGCAACAAAGGTCATCATTTAACCCTTTGAGCCCTGACCCCCTGAGGCTACCATGACCCCTCTGTCTGACCTCCTGAGTAATTCACACCTATATTTAATAAAATCATTTTCTTTTTCACCAAACTGCTCGTTCACAACTTCTACATAAGTGTTGATATCTTGACAACATCTTAGTCAAGCCAAATGTTGTACAGCTGTTTTGACTGACGGATAAATACAGGCATGCATTTTAGATAATAACAACTTATATTTGTATTTGTGATAATAACTAATACAATACTTCTCATGTGTACACAGAATGTGGTGACCAGTGCCAAAGAGTGGGAGCGTCGTCTGGAGGGCTTGGCTCGCCTGTGGCGGTCACTTCTACAGAAGCAGCAAGGTCTGGAGGAATGGCTGGACAATGCTCAGACCATTCTGGACGACACAGATGATGATCCCGACAGTCTCATACGCAAACACAGGGTGAGTGGGTCCTGCAGCGTTCAGATGGACACAAGTGGTTAGAGTAGGACAATATAAAATAGGGGGAGGAAGAGACAGGGCGCAGGGGAATTATCTTGTGGGTCATGCAGTAGAGGGAGCATCTGCACCAGCAGGAATATCAAGAGGCTAGCCTGGGATAGGGGAATGAGGAATGTGTCTGTTCGTGACTTGTACCCTGATCCAGGGGAATAAAGGCATTGATGATGATGATGATGATGATGATGATGATGATGATGGTGATGATGATGTAGAGACGTGGGTTATTTCAGGCTTTTATGTTTGTATTTGCATGAGTCCGATATGAGTGCATGTGCATGTCCGTGTGTTTGTGTGTGTGCACATGTGTGTGTGTGTGTGTGAGTGTGTGCGTGTGTGTGTGAGTGTGTGCCTGTGTGTGTGTGTGTGTGCACGCACATGCATGTGTGTGTGCATGCATATGTGTGCACTTGAGTGTGCGTGTGCACTTGCATGTGTGCGTACAGCTATCTCAGCACATGACATTGGGATGTCCCAGCTCAGGTTTTCCCATTACTATACCTATATTATCATTTCTTTATAGGCGAAATCATTGCTTTTTTTTCAGTTGTGGTTAGTGTTTGTCATCAATGGATTGTATTTTTTTGCATGTGTTATTTGTGCTTTCATTATACTTTTTAAACCAATTTATTTACTAACAAATAAAGAAATATGTCATCATGTTCTAATCAATCCTATCTCTTTTGCAGGCTTTCTTTGACCGAGTTGACAAACGAATGATGTCAGACTATGAGTCGACAGCCAATGAAATCCTGCAGCAGCTTGAGGCAGGAGACCGCAAACAGCTTTCACAGACTCTGGCACACCTCAAGGAGCGTTGGGACGTAAGTTAAATATTCGTCCGAACATGTTATCATTTTATTGCACTAGTTATCCCTTTTTTTGCCGAACATGTACTTTATTTAGCTGAACTCTTTATCTGTTTTGTTATACCTGATGACAATTTTGCAAGGCATGTAGAGTTTTTTTTTAAAATCATGAATTTATGAGTTTTTATCTTTGTTAACTTTTTACTGGTGAAAATAATAATGTTGTTAGGATTTGAGAAAGTCAGCTAATGTTCCAAACACAGATAAGTGTTGAAAAAGAGGCCCTACCTTTTAAATGACTCTTCTATGTTGAAGAGGGCGTTACTCCACTTAATTTAGTTTAGTTTAGTTTAGTTGAGTAAGAGTTTTACGGGGCTACCAACGACATAATGTCATATGAGCAGGACTCTAGTTGGTTGATCTCACTTAAGTTTAGAGCACATCTTTGTTTTACTATAGTTAGTCTGTTCCATATAATTCCAAAGACAATTTGGAGGCAGTCACTTAAGGACAAAACCATTTTTGTCTTCCTCAGCATGTGATGCACCACGCTCCCATCAAACTGCTCAAGCTGGAGTTTGCTGTACCAGAGGACAAATTTGAGGCGGCCATCGGCAAGGCTGAGGAGGCTCTTCAGCAGCAACAAGAGCAGATCAAGAGGAACCAGAACGTGAAGGAGGCTCTCATCAAACACAGGGTGAGTCAGTTGTTTTTCAGGAGGCTGGCTGCTTTGTGTAGAGTAGGGGTGTCAAATTCAGTTACATATTGTTGTGAGATCTAGCAATGGAAGACAGCAGAAGAAAAAGAAGATTTGTGTCTTGACGTTTTATTTGATTTTTCTTCTTCGCTGAGAGAAGTATATAAATCAAGGGGATACAGTCGTTGACTATATATTGTGTCAGTCACGCCAAAAGAAAAGCCAACTGATTTCTTGATAGAGGTTTCATGGATTTTGCCATTGTGGAAGGGGATGCTTAGAACAAGGACAAGAATATTTCATTGTTTATCTGAGACTTTAAAACGAAAAATCTATTGATGAACAGGAAAACGTTTTGGACTTCTTTAGTTCTATTCACCAATTGTGAAGCATTTCTGGTAACTTGACAATTATTATTGTATTTGTCATCTATTTATTATGATTGATTTTTTAAAGATATTTTCTCTTGTCTCTGCTTACAGCAAATGTTTCAAGAGGGTGGCTTTGCAGCTAGTTGTGAGCAGTTGCTAGAACAAATGAAGGGACTGTCACAAGGACTATTGAAGCTGAGCCGTGACGAGCGTTCCCTGGAGCAGCGCTACAAGAACCACCAGGACCGCTGGGACAAACTGCGTCTTATCGTGGAGGACACCCACCTACAGCTCAAACAACTGCCGGAGAGGTGGAGGGATTACCACCAGAAGTAAGACCTACTTTGTAGTTTCCGTATGTAGCAGAGCCTGTGTAAACCGAAATCTGCAGGACTGCCGGATTTTCTTTGGTTTTACTGAGTTTTTGGTGTAGAGAGGTTGCTCAAATAGAAATAGAATCGTAGAAGTTTTTGATTTTTTTAATGGTAAACTGTTATTTTAGGATTTACTGTTTTGGTTAAAGTGGTCTCCTGTAATGTTCCCTTTTTCCTACTTACAAGGAGACTAACTAAACTGGCGGTAGTGTCATGAAACAGCCAGCTACTCTAACTGACTCTGAAAGGCAGACAGATGTTAGTTGTAGCATCGGTAGTCTAGCGATTAGGCTACTGGACTCGTAATCGTGAGGTTGCGGGTTTGGGGTTTTGAGCCTCAGGCCTGACGTTGTGTCCTTAGGAAAGGTACTGTACAAGATTTTCCTCACTTCACCCAGGTGGGAATGGATACCCGGCCATAGACAGCGAAAGATCCTGTCAGTATGTTAGTGCTTTAGCACCTTTATGAAATGGCAGTTTGGACTGTATGCTTTCTGGGGAAATTGAGATTGTTTGAGAATGCTATCAGGCCTGTTGGGGTAATAATAATATAGATTGTAAAGCACAAAGAGCTTGCTGTTGAGTGGGGATTTGCACGATGCAAATGCTTTCTATTATTATCATTGTTATTTTTATTAATATTATTATTATTGATACTAAGACAGATCACCATCCACACTCACACACACTCCCAAGTACATCATGTGTATGTGTGTCTGTTTTCCAGGATGGAAGGTTTTGACAATTGGCTCCAGTTTGTGGAGAAACTGATGAAAGAGATGGGTCAGGAGGACCTCACTGGGGAGGAGTACAGGGACATGCTGGCCAAATTCCAGGTGAGGAATTGTGGAAAATAGGATAGATGAGAGGAGGAGGAAACGCAGCAGATGGTACGGATGGGAGATAACGATAGAGTGAATGGGAGAAGAGAGAATGCATAGAAAGAGGTGGAAGAGGGAATGGGAGATGATGATTAATTGAATGGGAGATAATGGTAGAATAGATGGGAAGAAAAGAAAACAAAAGTTAATGGTATGGATGGAAGATGATAAGAGAGTGAAGGAGGAAGATAATAGAATGCATGGGAAGAGAAGAGAAGAAAGTTGATAGAGAAGAAAACAAAGAAGATGATATATGAATGGGAGAAGACAATAGAATAGATAGGATGAGAAAAAAACAGAGTTGATGATATAAATTAGAGGTTTTGATGGAATGCATGGGAGAAGAAGATAGAATTGATGGAAGAAGTTGATAGAATTCATGTGAGAATAAACTAAAATAGATGGGATGAAAAGAAAACGGAGTTGATGGTAGGAATGGGAGAAGAAGATAGAATTGATTGAAGAAGATGACAATGACAATGAATGAGAGAAGAAGATAGAATGGATGGGAAAAGGAAGACATTGAATAAGATTAGAAGGGAGGAAAAGGAATAATCGAAGAGAATAAATTATGAATGAAAGACAGGAAAAGATTAAATGTGAAAAGAATTTAGAAGAATGGATTTGTGAAGAAATATAACAATGAACAGAGAAAAATTATTAGGAAGAGAAGAAACAGGAATGAATGAATGAATGAATGAGTGGGTACATCTGTTTAGATTATAAGCATATATGTGTGATGCAAGGGGAGTGGCTCAGATTTGAATGATTAAAAGGTGTTGGGGAAGAGGGAGATGATGATGGCAATAACTAACAGTATTGAACTTTTTAGCTTCTGTGTGTAACTGTTGCACTCTCTTTGAATTCAAGAAAAATCTCATTTTGTTGTGGATATTTTTTTTATTTACCTTGCACATTATACATAAAAAGTATCTTAATATTGACATGTACCTTTTCTTTCAACTAACATTTCTGTTGTTTTTTTCGGATATTTAAAAAAAAACCTTGCACATTATACTTAAAAAGTATCTTAATATATTGAAACGTACCTTTTCTTTCCACTAACATTTCTGTTAGGTGTCAATATTTGAATCTAACAAACATTTGGTTTCTGTTCTAGCTCTGACCCTTTTGTTTGCTCTCTAGATTTTATGTATACAGAATTTTTGTGTTGCGTGTCACACATGTTCTCACTTTTGTATATTTAGGGTGAATATTATTTTGTTTTAATCCATTTTTCTTTTGCTTTCTGGACAAGTTCTGGGTAATTTACTTGCACTATTGCCTCTTGCCCAGCATCCCCAAAAGACCTGCTTTTGTTATTCCTTTACTGAATGTTAAGCTATTTTCAACAGAATTTTGTACCTTACAGTTTTCAAATGTATTTTGATTGAAAAATGGAATCCGTAAAAAAAAATAAAAAAATCCACCTACAGTGAAATAATTGAGAAAATCTCTTGATGGCTACCTTTGTGGTAAATGGAGAAAATCTATATTCCTTAATGATCTGTTTAAAGAGATGAAATGATTCAAAATTTATTTATAACCAGGTACAAAAGAGGACCTGAGGTCATTATGACAAGATGTATATTTTCATGATACTAGTGATTTGTTGTATTCATATTATATTTCCGTTTGCTAAATGGTATTGTGCCTTGCACGGGACATCTGTCTGTTGACAAAGTAGCCAAGAAAGTTTCCTGGTCGTGATGATATAAAAACCTTTTTTCTTTCAATGGCATAATATGCATGTAATCTATTACACAGCAGCGTTCCACAAAGGTCTCGTTCAACTAAAACAAATGTATTTACCTGCAAAGGCAATGTAAAAACATATATAAGAGTCACAATACTTAAAGAATGTCCTCTTACAATTTGGGCATATCGTCCGTGCATTTGGCTATCCGTGTATGGAGCATTCAGATACTTTCAAGAAAATGTGAAAAAACGTTTTTATTGGTTTGATATGCCTTTTAGCCTCTTAATTTTTATAGGTTATATTTATCATGATTTATTGATGTTAATTAAAATGTGAGAGCTGATTTGTAAGATTCAGCCTAGGTCAAATGCCTTAAGACTGGAGTTTTCAAATTTTGTTCCATATATGCGGATAGCGAACTGCAATGATGATATTATGTTACGTGATGGATATGAAGTAATGTTGCAGCGTTGTTTTGTCCTCAAACCCTTCCTTGTCCATGCTTTTGTTCACAATACTACATGCACAAGACCTGTTATTTATTGTTGGCTATAACTGATCTCCTGTTGTGTGCTGTTTGAAATTTACGTGAAGAGAGACTTGGTTCTCCAGTGCCACAGTACTGCAGAATGTTGATTGTTGGTTTTGGATGATGTGTTTGTCTTTTGTTAAAGTGAAGGTTTTCCGCAAGTTTGTGTGCTGTGTTTGTCTTTTGTTAAAGTGCAAGTTTGTACAGTTGCGAGCGCTGAAAAACCTCTATTAAAACTAAAACTAATAGTGAAGGTTCTCCGCAAGTTCGTGTGCTGTGTTTGTCTTTTGTTAAAGTTGAGGTTCTCTGTTTAACCTTGTGCCCTGTTTGTCATCCGTTAAAGTGAAGTGCTGTGTTTGTGATGGACAGTCCTCAGCAATACTTCTCAACCCTCACTGTCCCATGCTTATGTATGTGTATACACCGCACACTTTATTCAACTTGCCCATATTTACCACTGTCTATGTTTGATATTGCAAATATATACCTTGATGTTTGCTCTTGCAACCCAACGTCTTCTACATCATCATCACCTTCTTCGTCATTATAAACTGCTGACAATGCTATTCAGCATTAAGAAATTGTTGTAAAAAAATCTCAGTAATGTACCTTTATGTTTGCCACATAATTTTGTCTGTTTTTTTAGAACATTTCAATGACATTTTGGTCACTGTCCTTGAACCAAATACGCTTCATTCATTCGTTGTCTTCATCTTCCTCATCATAGCAATCATCATCAGCATCAGCTTCAGTTGGTGCATCATCATTGGTTCAATACAGAAGAAGTTAAATTTTGTATACAAAGAAATGAGCTTTTATTCCCATTTTGTAACTGGAGATAAATTAGTCACAAAGCTGCTAATAGCGTACAGTGTAAAATTGAAATTAAACGAGTAAAACAAAGCTGCTCTTCTTTCAGTTATTGTTTCTGTATATAATTATTTTGATCGTACTGATATTGCTGAGATTATGCTAATGTAGCACATGAAACAATTGAAGATAGTGTGATTGTGTGGTGCCTCAGACATATTATTTGAAAGGATACAAAGACATTAACAAATATCATTGTTCACTACTGACACATATTTTTTGTTCACTAATTTTGTTTTTACCATTACCTTTTTCTTACAAAATTCTGCATTTTTTGCGTACTGCATTTTTTTTCTTCCATTTTCTGGAAATTAAAAATTTTAGTTTCAGTTTCATGTTCATTTGAGTGAATATGTAAACACACTTAGAGATAACAGAAGTACAAATGTGATTTTGTCTTTTATAGTGCATCATATCTTTTAATTTATCAAAGTAAGCTGAATTGTCATGCGGTTTTTTTCTCATTTCCTCCCGTTTTGCAGAAGGAAATGCGCAACATGGGCAAGTACCAGGAGGATGCCAAGTGGCTGGAGCAGGCCCTGGAGGAACTCATCAAAGACGCACCCGATGCTGATGCCCGCAGGGAGCGAGAACGACTGAAGGGTGTGCTGGAGCGATTCCGCGGCATACGGCCCCACATGGACTCGGCTATGGACAAGTCTGGCATCCTGTCCAAAGGTTATGAGTACAGAGACAATGTGGGCAAGAAGAAGAGCTGGCTGGATGAGGCCCAGAGGCTAGCCATGGAGCACCCTAATATAGACAGTCTTGAGGATGCTCGGGCCTACCTTCATGAACATGAGGTGAAGCGCTTGATATTTTTAGGGAATTTTGTAGGGAGGGATTAGTCTGTCTTTGTTTTTTTATGAGAGAAAGTTGTGAGCTCAGTTAGGATAGGAACAATGGAAGTGACCCCCCCCCAAAAAAAAATAAAAATAAAAATAAAAATAAAAAAATAAATAAATAAAATAAAATAAATAACGAGCAAGGTAATATTCTTCTGCAAATACAGACTTTATCACTGACATTAACAACACGATTTTGCCTTCCACTGGTAAAATTTCAAGTACAGATTATTTATTGCCAATTTTGTAGTCAGTTATGCTGGTGTCAGAAACAACAGGACATGAATATTTGAAAAACGACAGTCTATTCGTTTCTCTTACACAGCTCTTTTTTACCAATATATTGTTTGTGTTATAAAATATCTCGCTATCATCATATGCTTTCCTTTGACTGACACACATATAATCTCGCTCACCTACAGACTCTGCTGAACAAACTGGACGCAGAGAAGGCGAGCATCCAGGCAGAGATTGAGGCGGGCAAACGTCTCCAGCGCGACCGCAACGCCCCGGCCTTTATTGAGCAGTCTGTGTCGGAACTGGACAGAAAGTGGAAAGATACCAACGAACTGGCCAAGGCTAAACACGAGAAACTTAAAGTATGTAATGTTTGTTTTTAAATCATCAGTTTATGGCTTTTCGTGGATTCATATTCTTTTCCTTTAATTATCTTCAGAGTTGAAAGGGCTGTGGATACAAAAATTATTTTTTTGTTTTATTTTAAAAGGATGTGTCAGCCTGCTTCATGGTTTACTTTTTAATCTGCCCCAGTAATGTTCCTAAACTTTCTCAACACAGGTGTCCTATTTCATCTACATGAAGTTAATTAACGATTAGCGAACAGCAACGATAGAATAACAATTGAGATGGATAGGATCCTATTTCATGTTGCCATATGTGGATTCACACACTTACTCTATTGTTACAAGTATTGATTGAGATACTGCTCCTCTCTCACAGCAACAAGTGAAAGACTGGGAGAGCTACGAGGGGGAAAAGTCCAAACTGCTGACGTACCTGAAGAAGGCGGAGACAGAGCTAGAGAGGCCGGTGGAGACTGTGAACCAGGAGAACGCTCAGAAAGATTTCAACTCTAAGAAGGTGAGTGGTGACCTTGTCACATCTCTATCAATATTTTAATACTCTGAAGATGTCCTTTGTATACACAACATACAGTTGATCCTGCTGTAATGGCTACCTATTCAAGACAGTTACCTGCACAAAATTAAAACTACTCTCTACTTCCCCCATTTGTTCTTTTTATATTATACCTGTCTAAGACAACCACTTTTCTCCTTTACAAAGGGTCTTGGACTGCTGCGACTGTAATTCATTGTTTCTTAATTGTCACTTTTTTGTATTGAGATGGAAATTTGATAACTTCAAAGAAATGAAAAAGGCATCCATTGGTTTGATAGTAATCCTGGTTAAATGAGCTTCACTTTGTTTTAGTGAGTGTTTTACGGCACTTGCAATGCAATAAGGTCATAAAAGTGCCGAAGATTAGAGGTGTTACTAGAGAGTAACAGACACAAAAAAGAAGGAGAGATAAGGCTGGTAGATGTTTGAAAGGAAAGAAGAAGCAAACCACACCAAAGCACCCACCAACCACCCACCAACCACCCACCAACCACCCACAAACTTCTCTCTGATGTACCAAAGTATCTTTGGAGAAAGATGGACTTTATATACAAATACAATGTTATTTAGCAATATGATGTGTTGAAAAAAGTTTCTGAAATAAAGATGTAAATGGTCAGAAAAGGCTTAAATGAGATTGTAAGGAGCAAATTGAAAAGAATGAATCAATAGGATGTTTACTTACTGCGCAAATTTTTCTTCCTTGATTTTTCATAACTGCGTTTTATCCCTTTGAGATCACTCATGAGTTCACATTTGTTTTTTTACTCCACTTCCCAGGAGCTGCAAAGCACTTTGAACAAACTCAAAGGCAGCCTCTCGGAGATGACCAAGCTGAACTCACTCCTTGCTGAGGGGGCTAGTCGTGAGCGACAAGGGCCACTCAAAAGCGAGATGACGGATATCGACAAAAAACTGGAGAACATCAGTCATCGACTGAATGCCAAGCTGGTAGACTTGGAGTCCACAATCGCCAAGTGGTCCGAGTACTACAAGAGACTCAACAGCTTCTGTGATTGGTTGAATGAGAAAGAGACAAAACTGAACGAGATCTATGAGAACAAGCAGGACTCGCCGGAGACACAGTTGCAGAAGGCTGAGGTAACCCTTGACCTTTGTGCTTGTTCCTTGAATTTTATTAATGGTCTTACTGGTACTTGGATATTAATTTAAAAAGTTATGAATTATGTTTCTAAACCTCATTATAAAGAAAAGAGCACACTGGAACATTCACAGGGATTCACCTATTCACAGCACACTTCTTCCAACAGTTCCTATGCTAGTTATGTTATTATTATAGATTATACAGGCCCCAACACTGCTACTAAGTAATTGAGATTAGCTTGAAGATTTAAAATCGATATCAGAGAAGATTCAGCATTTGGATTCTGCAGGTATTATGACTTAGGGGGGAAAAATATTGATCTCTCATGGTGTAAACGAATGATACATTAAGAACTACACAAATGTACTTTTGCTTGTGCAGGGTATTTCCAGCCAAGTGTATGAAAACCATGTGACGTTGGAGAATCTGGAGAAAGACGCCCGTGGCCTCACGCAGAACTTCCGATCTCGAGAGACCGCAGCGCTTAAGTCTAAGTTGACCAGCGTCCGGAGGCAATGGGAGTCCCTGTGTGCCAGGGCCAAGGACCGCAGCACTGCCCTATCTGGCAATGTGGCTCACTGGCAGAAGTACCAGACTTTGCAGGAACAGCTGCTGCCGTGGATCATGAAGGCAGAGAAGTACTGCGCCACTGATCTGCCCAAATGTGCGTCTCTGGAAGAAGCCAGGGAGCTCTATGACTTACATCAGGTACTGTGGGGATTTCAATATAGGATATCACACGCTAAGAGAGGCAAATGTTTTGAGTGTACTTTTTGGAACATTTCTTTTTTTGGGAATAATTCTGAAAATGAGATGGTTTGGCTATTTTAGGTTGTAGTATAACTTTCTCCACATTCCTCACCACATACTGTGCCACCAGTCAATATATATTATGTATAAGTGATAAAATATTTGCACATGGAAAGAATTAAGGACGTTATTTGAATTCCAGTTTTTTGACACATGAACTGAGAGTTATGAATTCACAAAAGGCTGTTAAAAGAGATCCTGAAATACAGAAAGGTAAGCTTGTATAGTAAGCACAGACTCACGCTTCAAATGGTTCATTGCTTCAAATGGTTCATTTCCCCAAAATATTATGAATTTGTGTGCTCTAAGATTGTATTATGTAGCACTTCTCAAACTCAATTCCTTTAACCCTTGAGTAGTTTTTGAAGAAGACCTTTGTTTTGGAGGTGGTCATGATAACAGGTGATAGAAATGTATGCCTCAGATAGTAGTTTGGTTTTGAATGGTAGTTTTTTCTTTGGAAAAGCAAAGAAATAAGTTTCTAAAGATGCTAAGGTTTGATAAGCAAAATCATTTGCTTCATGATGATGTTTTTTCTTCATCACTAATCTATCTTACTTTTATGTCCTATTTCAGGCTTTCCTTCAAGAATGTGAGGAGTACCTGCCGCTGTTTGACCAGATGAGTACCGAGGCGGGCTACCTACTGGACCAGCCCAACATGCACCGGGACCTGGAGGCCATCCAGAAACGCTGGGGCAGCATCCTCACCAACTCGGAGGACCGCTCACACAAAGTGGACAAAACGTTCGGGGCCTGGTCTGCATATGCTAATGAGCTGGACAACTTCCAGGAAACGCTGGAGAAGATCCACGGACGTCTGGCGACAGAGCCCAATGTGAACACGTCAGACATTCAGGTCTTGGAGCATGAGCTGGCTCTGGCAAAGGTAATCATGGATTCATTTCATATGCAGGTTAAAAAAAACATTTTCGTGGAAGCTATGCCATGTTAAAATAGCATCAATGCACATATAGTTACGATTTTCAGTGGCTGCCGCTGTTAAACCTGCCTGTTCCGTATTGGCCTTATCAGCCATGAGCATGCCTGCGGTGGACATGGACCACTTCCTTTTCAAGTTTTTGTTCATGAAGCAAGGCCATGATGATGAACCAATGTTCTTAATAGTTTTATTCATCTCTGTATGACTTTTTGTACCTTTATGTCAGAACCTAGGTAAAGCAGTACTGTAATTGCTTTGATATCTAGAGGTCCTGGGCCAAAGCCCTGGTGGTGTCTCAATGTGGAATATTTGCTTGCGATAACAATGTAGAACAGTTTGTGCTGTTTGCAGTTTCAAAAGTTGATGATGCTAACATGTAGTTTGCCTGCGGGGATCCTTTCACTTACAGACGTTATTGCCCTTAATTAATTTTCTTACACGTAAGGTAAGTATATGAAATACTTGCATTCTGATCTCAATTTCTTTGTCTTCCCCAACTGTCCGTACCTTGAAAGGCGCTACAAGAAGAAGCCCGCAGCCACCAGCCCCAACTGAATGCGCTACAACGCCAGTTTGAGCAAGTACAACATCATGCTTCTCCAGAGGGGCTAGGAGTTGTCAAGTCTAAACAAGACGCCATCAAAACCAACTGGAAGTAAGGACAATCTCAAACATAGGTTCAATTTGATAATTTCTCTTTGAGACTAATGAAGAACAAAAAGAACCTTGTAGAGTGGGTTAGTAGTGTGCATAGACATACAAATCTAACAGTTTTAATTGTAGATTTTTGTAATTTCTTTGTAATGACAAGATTTGTAAAACATAAGTTTATCTGGTAAAAAGTTTTAGCTTGTGCAAGCATTAGTCTTTCTGTGAAGTCTTTATTATAATCACTCTCACTATTTTTGTAATTTTTACATCTACAAGCTCATGCCAACAACTTAGACTGTAAATTTAGTGATTTAATGATAATGTGTAAGATAAGGATTATGCTCAGGACATTGGTCATAAAGTTTGGAACTATGAATATGAAATACTTTAGTAAGGATAGGAAATTAATTTAAAATGATTTTAGTAGAAAAAATAGAAATAATGATGCTGATGATTTGCTACTTTCTACACAGTGAAATCAACGAGGCTGTGGCGGAGCGGCAGAAGGTGCTCGGTGCTGCTCTCCAGCATCGTCGTGACTTCTACAACCGGATGCAAGACACAGAGAAGTGGGTGAAGAAGATGCAGAGGAAACTCGACTCTGGGAATGAGATTTACTCAGATGAACTGCCAGACACACAGGCAAAACTCAAGGTTTGTAGATTTTGATTCTCCCTTTATATTTTGGAACTCAGTGAAATCTGCTTAAACGAAGCCAGTAGTGTGCATAGACATACAAACAGCAATGGAAACAGCAATGAACCAAAAGGAAAAAAATTGCTGGATTTTTTGTCTATTTAAGCAACCTCTCTAAACCGGGAACATGGTCAGTTAGGCCAAAGAATATCTGTCAGTCCTGCAGATTTCAGTTTTAGCGCACTCTACTATATATATAAGAATAGTTCTGTGGTACCACTGGAAGATTTTGTTTTCTTTCTTACCATTTTAGAAATCTTTGTTCTACACTAGTTATTTACAAACACAGGTTAGCCGTCCTTGTCTTGAGCTGGTATGTTTTTTAATGAAAGAACTGTTATATACTCTTTATTTATAGTGCTCTGTTCAGCTTTCTGTTTCTTGCATGAGAGAGAGTTCTCAGTGCCACAAGTGTTGAACTCACCGTTCTGCTAGGTAATAGTATTACTATTTATCTCACCTTGATATTATACAGTAATGCTGACTGGAGTTCCGATGTTCATTTGACTTTGATAAAACTTTGGCTAAGGGATAAGACCACTTATTATGACCATATTTCTGACTTTAGTTACATAAACACTGTTTATTACATGTCTTCTGGATAGGCCATGAAAGAGGAATGTCAGTCTCAGGAGGCCTTGTTCCAAGGTCTACAACAGGAGTTCAAGGAGTTGGTGAGCGTGTGTAGCCCAGATGAAGCAGCTGTGCTCAGCGAACGCTTTGACAAGATGATGCAGGGCTACACGCGTGTAGAGGACCTGATTGGGAACAGAGAGGAACTGTGTGGCAAGTGGGTGGCGTACAGTGACGCACAACGCGAGGTTCAGACAAAACTCAAGGCCTTGCAGGTAGTGTGTGGAGAGAAGTTCATACTTGTTCTGTAAGCTTCAGACTTTGTTAGCGGATGTTTGATGCTTTTTCTTGGTTTGATTGTATTCATTACAGATCTTCAGCTGAAATTTCTGTTCTGAGCTTCATGAGTCTTATTCTGTCTGGCTTTGTGATTCTTATTATGTATGGGCTGTTTATTCTATCTGGGCTGACCAGTAAAGGGCAATTGGTGGTGGGTCTTGCATCTTCTACTCTTACCTTTTAATTTTCTTGTGCCACTTATGAAATGTGTATTTTAGCATGCTTTCTCTGTAAATTGTGACTTCACATATAGTCTAAGCTGCACTGGTAACATTGTTGTGAGGTATATATTTTCTTTCATAATAGTTTTTTACAGTTTGTTTTTGTAAGAAAATAAATTTTTTACTATTGAAACGATGTTAGATTCTTTCTTACCTAAGATATATTTTGTTGTTTAAGAAAGTGGTTTTTCACATCTCTATTGCTGACAATCGACAATGTTGCATTCACAGGCCAAGCTAGCCTCCCCTGACATCACAGAAGAAGAGGTCGCTCAGTGCATGCGTGAGATCGAGGCTCTCCGCAAGTCCATGCAGCCGTGGACTCAGGACGCCGACACCCTCGACGATCTCATGTCCACCGCGCAGATGATGATCAAAGACCGGGCTACGCAACGCACACTTCACTTCAGCTCTGAACTCCAAGCCCTGGAGAACTTGTGCGACCAAGCTGGTGCCTCGGCACGGCAGAAGGAGGAGCAGCTGGGAGAGCTCACACAGCTCAGCACTGAGTTCTTGCAGCGTAAAGACGGGCTGGCTCAGAACCTTATCGAGGTGCAGGAGAAGATTATGGCCGCTCGTGCCTCGAAGCCTGACCTGCAGGGTATGAAGGATCTTGTCAGAGAGATAGAGGTAAGCCCTGACTTCAAAGTGATCTAAATTGTGTAAAAACACCTGCATTTTAAAAACATGGGTTTTTTTCACTTATTGTATTATCTCACTGTAAATTCCTTGAATTAACAATTTAGCAGCTATAACATGTTGTACGGGTGTGATCGTTAATCGCAGTGATTGTCTTTTTGTGTATATGCAATATTTTATCAGATAACGGGTTTATATAAAAATATGAAATTATTGCTGTACATTGAATGGACCTGTATGCAAGAAACATATGACTGTGTTAGCTGCTAATTTTTATTTTTTTTCTCTTTTTGAAAGTCTATTTTATCATAAAGGGCTTAAGGCCACCAGAGACTGAGCGTTATAGAACTGACCTTTATTATGACTGTCCACCCCCACAGGACGTACGTGATGACATGTACACCAACAACCCGGAGTACGAGCAGCTGCGTGAGCTGGGACGTCAGATCATGCACACTGACCCCACCAAGGCCGCTGTCATACAGGCACAGCTGGGACAGGTCCGTTTCTTGTCTTGACAAAGTCTGTGTGTCACTGTCATGTCACTTTCTTTTTCTTCTCATAATTATTTTTTTCTCGATCGCGTCACACTTGAAGTCTATCTACCATATACTACTGGGTTCAATTCCTCTGTTGGCTCATACAGGTTTGCCTGTAGTGTTAATGGAATGTCACTTTTTTAATTGAAAAATTGCACAGGTGCTGATTGTCTAGAAACGCAGATTTCTCAAATTATTAGCATTCCAGTGTGCCAGTTCTCCGAACTATGGAGGAATATAGTAGAAGTCCTGTTCTAATGATATTTTTCACCTAAAGTGATAATTCAGGCCTCTAATAAATAACTCAGCGAAAAAACAGTTTCATTCCACCTCACTGATTTGCAAGTACTGCGACAGAATCTGCGCTTCAAACATAGAAAGAATTAGCCATGAAAGACGCATGAAGACAACCTTGTGACCATCTTAAGCTAAATTGACGGTCTGCATAGACAAAAAGAGCCATGCAATAAATAACTCAACCTTCCTCCCTCCCTCTTCCTCTCCATCAGGTGAATGCGGCCTGGGAAGAGATCCAGGGTCTGTTGACGGAACGGCACCAGCAGTACAGCGGCGTGGCCAACATGTGGCAGCAGTACTACGATGCCAAGCAGGGCGTCATGAAGATCCTGGAGGACGTGGACCCGGTCGTCTCACAAGACCTGGCGTTCATGAACCAGGGCGACGTGAAGAAGTCGCTGGATCAGCACAAAGTGAGTGCGAGGAATATTTTATGTGGAATGATTTCAAAGTGAGATGCCTCTATGTATTTTTTTTACCCTATCGTAATATTTCTGAGGAAAAAAGTTCTTTTTTTAATCATTTGAATTAATGAAAGGCGTATTTCTTAACATTTACCAGTTACCATGTTATTATGATTTGTAAATAAGGAAGGAATGAAGCTTTTTGCAAATCAAAATTAATTTTCAAGTAAAAGAACTGAATTTTTCTGACTTGTAAACCAGAAAATTTGGGCTTTTCTGTTCTATTCTGATTTTCACTGTTTCCGTTCTACAGAATGCTGAGTTTGAGCTGCATGCCAACCAAACTCAACTTGACCACATGAACAACAAAGGCGTGCAGCTTTTGGAAGACTTGCGGAACATTCCAGACTTTGACCTCTCAGGGATGGAAAGTGATCTGGATGAAGTCAACCTGAAATGGGAGACTGCCAACTCAGTGAGTAATTTCTTTTTTACTTCTCTGTTATGAAATAATATGTAATCATCCAAGTGAACTCCAGATCAGTCTATCAGAGTTGAAGTGAACTGCACAGTTTGTGCGTTACATCGGACTGACTGTCTAGCTGCTGTCATCGAGAATGGGGAAGAAAGATTTGAAATGTAAAATTATCCTTACAGATATATTTTCTTTTTGTCTAGTAATGATAATTGTAATGTTTTAATAATGATTATAACAATTCCATTTAAGTAGCATATTCACACTCTATAGCATGCTCTATGGTCTTTACAACTATTATTACCCTGGCAGACCCTAGAACACTCAAAAATATTCTTGGTGTAGCCAGAAATAGAGTGCCTGTAAATCGGGCATCTTAACTGCTAGAATGGGATGTCTCATTGACAAGGTTGTGAGTTATAGTATGATTTCTTTAACACACTTTGTTGTTCTGTCATCTTTAGGTGATTGACCACCACAAAGAGGATCTTGAAGCTCAGCTGGTTTGCTGGGAACAGGTACAGTCCGGAGAGGAGGAGGTTCGGACATGGGTCAACGCCATGGTCAATAAACTCGATGATAGTCTCAAGCATTTCGACGATGCCGTTAGTGTGGAGTCTCGGCTCAACAAGTTCAAGGTTGTTAGAACATGTTGTGTACCTTGTTATGTCTCATGTAAAGTGTGATTGTGTGAAGTGAGATTGTGTGGATGTAATTGTTTGGCAGTATGAGGTTGGTGGGTGCTTCAGTGTGGTCTATTTTGTCTTTCCAGTAGTCTTATTGGTTGTATGTGCATCTTCAAGTTATGGGGCTGTTCCTGTGCTGTGTCACAGTTTTCTATTGTATGTACTTTGCTTCAATCTGTCAATGGTGGGGTGTTCTCTTGTTATAATCAGAAGAAAATACAAAAACATGCGTTTGTAGTTTGATGTTCTCTATGAAGACAATGTAGTGTCCTCTTGGATTTTTGTTTTTCTGCCTTTTCTTTCCTGCTTTCTTTTCCACCTGTTTCCAAGGGTGTAATATGACATTCTTTTCACACTTCTTCAAGGGCAGCAGGTATTAGTTGCCATTTTAAAAAATAAGTTGTTCTGTTAACAGTCTGCAGAGGAGTAGAATTTGTTTGTTTGTTCTGTTCAAATTTTGCAGAGGAGTAAAATTTTGTTGTATTTGACAGGATGAAGCGCCATACTTCGAGGAAGTGATGACTGAGGTGGAGCAGAAGCTCAAAGACCTGAAGGAGTTGAACAAAGGCCAGGACATCCCAACACTGACTGACGCACAGCAGGACATCAAGGCACAGTTTGAGAAGGCCTCCAACCTGGGTCAGTTTAGATTCTCTTCATCATCCCTAAAAGTTTCTGTCCTTTCACAGGCAGTAAGACATAGTGCTCATCCTTACATTTGTAGCTTTTTAATACTGTTTGACGTGGTAATACTGATTTATATTAATTTGTGTTTATGTTGTAAAATTCCTTTTATCGTTGAAGAACTTGACTTCCAGATGTATTTTATGTCTCTATCGACAAAAAAAACAAAAAACAGTATTATAGTATGACCATATATATACTTTCCCCTATTTTTGGTAAGTCGGATTGATTGTAGGCTATCTTTTTTTAAAATTGAATTTAATCAGCTAATCAACTGGTCTCTATTATGTAAGGAACCATGATTAATTTTTTACTCTAAGTTTTATTTCTTTTTTTATTGAATTTCATCAGCCAATCAACTGGATTCGATGATGTCTTCGTTCTCTGACGAGCAACAAGGTCTGCAGAAGTCGATGTCTGACGAGACCGAATGGATGAACCAGCTGAAGGAAGCCCTGACCAAGTGTGATGATGTCACGGGCTCCACCGAGGAGCTCATCCAGCGATTTGACACCTGCAAGGTATGCTGAGCTTGCAACAGTTGTAAAGTGAATTGAGCATGCTGTAGAATGTGGAAATGCACTGTAAACATGCAATTATAATTATTATTTTTTGTTATAATTATTATTATTACTGTTATTACTGCTATTA